TTCTGCCCGAGAGGGCAGCAGGGGAGCCGGCGCTGGTGCGGCAGGAGGTGGCAGTGGCAGGGGGTGGTGAGGTGGGTGACAAGGGGGTGACAGGAGCAGTGTGGAGGGCACAGAGCGGGATGGGGGTGGCAGTGGCAGAGGGGGGGCAGCAGGGGAGCCGGCGCTGGTGCGGCAGGAGGTGGCAGTGGCAGGGGGTGGTGAGGTGGGTGACAAGGGGGTGACAGGAGCAGTGTGGAGGGCACAGAGCGGGATGGGGGTGGCAGTGGCAGAGGGGGTGTCAGCTGAGGGAAGGGGGACAGCTGGGGAGTCTGGGAGGGACAGAGAAAGGGCGGCTGATGGAGCCATGGCCTGCGGGCGAAGGGTAAACCAGGAGGCAGCACTGGAGTGCAAGGGAAGGGGGCCAGTGCCGGCAGGGGTCGAGGGCCAGGGTGAGGCGGAGTGGGAGTGGGGCACAGTGCGTCTCGTGTCCCCATGGCATGGAGAACCGCGTGGAGCAGTGTCCCTCGGGGAGCAGCTGATGGCAGAAACCTCCCCCAGCACCCCTGCACACGGGGAAGGGGCAGTGGAGCTGAGGGGGCAAGGGTCCACAGGAGGCGAGGGGCTGTGCCCGGGCACCATGCCACAGCTGGCAGTTCCCGGGACGGGGGCAATAGGGGGCAAGGAGGGGCCACAGGAGGGGACAGAGCAGGTGGGAGTGACAGCCGAGGGGGAACAGCCAAGCCTTTGTGAAAATGCCAGAGAGGGAGAGGTAGAGAGTGTCCTGGAGAGTGGACGGAGTGCTCCGGGGGTCAGGGAGCAGGGGGAGGACAGTCCCGTCGGAGGAAGCCCAGACACCCTGGGAGCCGCTGATGCGGGCGAGAGGAGCTGCGGTCCCTGCGAGGTGAGTTCTGCGTGGTCGGCTGCTGCCCCCGCGCCTGGTCAAGTCCCCGGGCTGGTCCTTGCCGGGAGCAGAGGATGCACCTCTTCATCCCACTTCTCGTACTTTGCTTAAGTATCTGCTGCTGGTAACTGGGGTAAGGGATGATAAATCCTTTTGAGTGGCAGCTTCTGCATTCTTTCCTCTTCCTGAAATCTCGTTACAAATATCTTTGCTCTGGTGCTGGTGCTCGCAGCCCCTCCGGCTGCACGGAGCAGCTCCGGCCGCCCAGCCTGTGGCTTCTGACTGGTGCTGGTGGCAGCGTGGACCTCAGCAGCATGTGCTGGCTCTGATGCACCAGGTCAATGGCAGCACTTGTCTTCTCTGGTTGTAGGAAATCTGTTACAGTGGTATCTCAGTAGCCCAAAGTTAAGCACGTTTTCTGTAAAGCTCACGTTTTTCTCATTGTTTTGTAGGGTGCGGTAAACTCAGACGCAGTTGTCGTGCCCTTGGTCCAGCCCCAGGATGGGGAAGAAACTTTCCTCTAAGCTTTTTCTGCAGCTCCTTCAGTGCTGTGTCCTGTAACATTTACACAAATCGCTGTAGGTTTGTGCCGGCTGGGATGTTCACTCCTCTTCTCTTTTACTCCACGAGTACCACAACCATCTGTCACATTTTACTAGAGCAGCCTCTCAGTGTGCAGCAGACGACTGAAATAAGCCTGTATGTACCAGCCCAGGAAACAGCACTGCTTCGTAATTATGAAGACAATAATTGCAAGGATTGTTCCACAGCTGTCATGCTTGGTTTTCCCAAAACACAGAGAAATATTGGACTGGCTGAACCTCCCCTGCTCCCCAGGCACTACTTGCTTCTGCTGGCTGGCAGGAGGGAGGGCCGAGGGTAGAGGTGCTGTATGTGTTTCCGTAGGACGAGAAGCGTGTCTGTGTAGAGTGTCCATGTCTGACTGTCTCTGCCTGTGTACTGACGGTGTTCCACTGTGTGTCATTTGCCTTTCTGAACTGCAGATTCTTCACTGTGAACCTTCTCTCTCATTGGGGATCTAAGTTTGTTGCTGGCCATGCTTCAGGGCATTCTTGGGACTTTGAAATGTTGTTGAAAGTTGTTAAATCAGAACAATTCTGATGTGTATTTCTAAATGAATAAAGCCTGGCATTTTGCTTTTGCTGGCATCAGTCAGGAGTAACTCCCTTGGGTGCACAGGGTCCATGCTGAAAGGGCAGGAGGGGTGGTCAGTGTCAAGCTGTCAAGCTGCAGACCTCTGCTGCCAGAGTCTCCCTTCCCGCTCTGCTGCACCGCCGAGGGCTCCCCGAGACGCAGCTGGGGCCGGTGCGGAGCAGCCTGGCAGGCGCTGCTTGGGGGGCTGCAGGATGCTCAACCCTGACACGGGGTGACTATACCTGTACTTTCAGATCGTGAAATGGAACTGAAATGAGCAGGATTTTGAGTGGCTTGTTACTGTAAGTTGCTTAAAATCAACATATACGGGATAGGAAATTTAAATGTGATCAGGTAATTCATGTTTGTTCACTCCTGTACTAAAGATGGTTGCATTTGATTTTCAGTCTGGGTACCAGGAAGTGCTTTGAAAGAGAAAAGTAGGCAGAAAAGACTAATAATAGCTTTACAGTCCTCAGCAGTTTAAATGAAAGCCTTGCATCAAGTGATCCCAAGTGGTGCAGTTGAAATGTTTGTTCTGTGCGAGATACGCGGTAGTTGCTTACAAAGCACGTATTTGACTGTTGGCCGTTCAACAACGGTCTTTTCCTTGTAACCAGGGAATGCACCTAAAATCAGAAGTGGCTTATTCACTGGACCAAGACATTTCCAGTATTGTTCAATATAAACAAAGTGCAGTAAATAGATAATCTGTGTTTACATACTTGCAGTTGAATACACCTAGTATGTGAAGTGTTCAGAATTTAAATTCATGCTAATGACCTTCTCCAGAGGTTTGTTTTTTCTGTATACATGTGCACACCTGCACATTTACTTGGGTCTATAAAAAAACCTGTACCATTCTGTGTAGTTCCTTGAATTTTTGCGAATGATTTCACTGTAAGAATAATAATTGCCAATCAAGTAGGGCCTGGTCTTCAGTATTTAGCTCTACTTTCTAACTGAGTGACTGATGTTGGGTTGAATATTGGTGCTGCGAAAACCGTATCGTGCAGATACCTGTGGAAAGCAAACGCCTGCGGTTCGTGAGGGTGACTGTGCCGAAGCCACGTACAAATGTGCGCTCCCGCACGCGGGATGCAGTTCAAGTGTTACGTGAAGAAAGGCAGAGGGGGGAGTGCAGGGATTTGCCTTGGCACGGGTTCCCCAGAAGGGTCAGGCTCCAAAGCGTGGGCTGAATGCTGGGGGGGGTGATGCAGAGCAGGATGGGGGCTGCCTGGGGCAGGTGGTCCTTGGGGCTGGCACCATCGCTGGGGCAGTTTCTGCTCTCGGTGCAGCCTCTTGCCAGCCTCTGCTCCCAACGGGAGCGAGGGCTCTTTCCTGATGGGCAGAATCTTCCTTACAGAAACTGGCATTCAGAGCACGCTGAAGAGGAGTACTGGCAGTATGAGTCTGCAGCAGCAGCAGCAGCAGCAGACTTAACTAGGTGCACTTCAGCCTTTTAGAAAAGAAGGCAAGAGTTGGTTAACCAAGAGGCAGCTGAACTCCCAAGGCACTCCTGGGCTGCAGAAGACCTGGGGCATCAGGGAAGTCCCAGATGACAGTGCAGTAGTGATTGCAAGGAACTGGAGAGCCCTTACCCCATCCTGACAGCTCGCCCCCACTGTGTACCGGCGGCGGCCCCTGCTCGCACTCTCGCCTGTTCCCGCGCGTGTTTTGCACGCTGGCAGCACCGCAGGCAGCTCGCTGGCATGGCACGGCACGGCACAGCTGTGGGTGGCGTGAGCCAGATTTGGGTCTGGGGCATTGCGTTACTGTTTGCATGCCTGGCTCCTTTAAGGCAACTGGTTTCTGAAGGGGTCGGAGGACTTGAACCAGATACGGAATCGAGTTGAATTTGGCAGTTTCAGCTTCAGAGAAGTGCTCTGCTGCTGCTGGTGTGGCTGTTAAGAATAAGGATGTACCGTCTGTATTTTCAAAGTATGGGTATACCTGTAATCTGAGCAGGTGGAATTTTGGTAAGAAACAAAACCACCAAAATGGATAATTTAATGGGTTTAGAAATGCTACCCATGTAATTTCTGCTCTCCTATCCATTGCTACTTAGTAATTGCCTTCAAAGTGGAAAAATGTAGGTGGCATTTAGGGAAGAACAAGATGCACACCAAAAGGAGACTAATTATTAAACTGAACATATGTGAGAAAAGCGAACTATCTGGCAGTGTTGCCCCTGGCAAAACTCATTTTCGGCTCAGCACAAAGGCGCTTT